CTATTGGGAGACGAAAAATTCGTGTTGTTTTCTATGTCCTTTTTTTCAGCTGAAAAAAAAAAACTAAATAAAAACTCTATAAACATAAACCTACCTGAGACACATAATGAGGAAGGAGGGCTTGGAAAATTTGAAACTCACAGGACAATTTGAAGGTAAGAAAGATAAAAGAAAGCAATGCATAACCTCACTGTCGAGCTTGAGTGAATGGATAGCAGAGCAGGTTTTGGGAGAGATGGCAAAAATATAAAAGTTATTAAGAGCTACAAGAGACAAGGAAATGTGGAGAGCCATGATCACTAATGTTCTGAAGGGATACGGTACGTAGAAGAAGTATATTTCGATTTCTGTCTGAAATTCTGGGATGACGAGTTATTGGAATTTACATTACAGCCGGACTAATGTCTACATCCTTGTTGTTCCTATCACGACTTTACGGTCGTTGGACATACCGTTTTATTCAATGTCTGTCGGTTAGCCTTTTTAGTGTATTTTCTTTGTGGCAGTGATTATGCCTTGAATGAAACCTTTGGTGAATTCAGAGTCGTTTTGCTTATGATTTTTTACTATACTGTCTACTATGTCTCCTTTGCGAGGGAATTTCGAACTGAACACTTTATTCAATCTAAAGACAAATTGTTCTCCTTCCGCTGTCCATGTCAAGACGAAATATTCATAATTGTTGTGGAGTGATTTCACAGTGGAGGCTTGTATTTGTACTAAGTCGGTCCTAAAATAGGTTCGACGTACAAAACGTTAGGAACTTGATATAATAGGTATAACGCAGAGTTGTGGTCGCTGATACTTTAGTATTCGACTAACTGTCGTCCGACATCGACTGACTGACCGACTCCACTCACTGAGCGACTGACTAGTTACTCTTACTACTCCTACTTATTATAGGTGGGAGAGTCAATTAACTATAGAATAGGTGTGTTCCACTATAATAATAATGAACAGTGTAACGAGAAAAATATGACCATTAGAATTAATAAAGTGTTTAGTCCGAAATTCTCTAAAGATTATCTGGATTGACAGATATCTGAAGAAGACCAGAGGGCACAATGGCCGAAACGTTGTGATGGTAGCAACTAAAAGATGAAGACATTAGTCAAACCTAACTGACCGATACTTGTATTGAAGAATTGCTTGATGTATGAATGAATTGACCATCAAATGAGTGACAATCAAAACAACAAACTGAGACAAAACTCAATAAATTATACAGGAACAGCAAGTGGAAATATATTGGGAAGCCTAATCTAAAAGAAAATCTATCGGATATAAAGCTTTCTAATACAGAACGAGGCATTTTGCTTCCGGAATCGGCAAAGGAGACATAGTAGACACTCCAGTAAAAAAAATCATAAGCAAAACGACTCCGAATTCACGAAAGGTTTTATTCAAGGCATAATCACTTCTACTATAGAAACCAACAAAGAAAATACATTACCACTGAGATACATAAATGCACTAAAAACCTAGCGAGAAATAAGGAAAATCCACATCACTCCCTCTGACAAAGGGGTGTGTTGTGATCATAAGAATACATACATAGAAAAAATTAACTCACTACTCAACGATACCGACACATGCTACAAAATAAACGATAAGAAAATAACTCTTAAAAGACAAAAATTCAACAAGGAAAATAGGTAACTAATTAAAAATGAAAACAAATTTTGGTACAGACTCATAGAATATCATCCTAGAACACCCAAACTTTATGGCCTCCCAAACAAAACTGGAATAGACAGCGCCTCGCATAAATTGGCGAAAGCCATAACTAAATTCTAACCCCTTTCTTTGGAACAATCAATCCATCTCATATAAAGGACTCAGACAGCCAAGTTAAAAATGAACACGACTGACAAATGCATGGCCAGTCTAGATATAAAATCCCTCTACACCAACGTCCCAGTTGACAAATGCGTAATTCTTCTAAAAAGCAACGCGTTTAATAATGATTGTTACAAACAAAAATTTGGATTACCAATGGGATCGCCTCTCAGTGAAGTGATAGCATGTATCTTCTTAGAATTTCTCGAGTCCGGTCCTTTCCAAATATTTTACCAAAACAATCAACATACTTCCGTTATATTGATGATGCTTTAGTTATATATCCTCGTGATACTAATTTATCTGACATAGTAGATTAATTAAACAAAGTCGAACACATACTAGAATTTACATAGGAAATAGAAAAATACAATTACTTACTCTACCTGGATATCAAGATATACCTTGTTGACAACAGTTTAAAACTAGGTGTACACCGGAAATCACCCAACAAAAACAACTTGATAAATTTCTATTCTCATCATAACAAAATAAAATCTGGCATAATCATCTACTTAAGAGCACTAAGAATATGCAGCCCGCATTATTTACATGAAGGGAAATACATTGAAAATACTTTCAACCTTCTTCGGTACCCTAATTACTTTATATTCGACGCGAAACAAAATCCCATAAAATATTCCAAAACAAAAAACGGCCCCTTCTGAAAAACCCAATAAACATATATTATTCTACCAACTGAATCTATCACATCTACAATCGAAAAACAATTTATCTAAACTAAACATAAAATTTGTTACTACTAGTCAATACTTAACAAAGCAATAAGTTAAAACCTGAAGGTGGAATTTACTCGATCTCCTTCAATAATTGTCACAAAAATTACATAGGAGAAACCTCAAGGAATCTAAATAAAAGACTATGAACACAAAAGAGACATTTTACAAAACAATACGTCAAATGCGTTGGTTGTCCACCGTAACGAGACTGACCACAATTTTGAAATATAAAAATGCTACTCTAATCAAAGGAGAATATAATTCACTACAATGTCTAGAGAGTGCCTTGATCACAATATCATCCACAGTAAATTTGCGCCCAGGCTCTTACAATATTTCACCATTCCTGGCAGATCTACTAATATGACAGTGTTGGATACCTACTAACAAAAGTGATTGAAAGAAAAAGACCCTAAATGAATTCGGCCAGATATCAATTTTTTTTTTAAATTCTAAAATTCCCAACACCCCTTGTTCGTGCGCATCTGTAGTCGTACCAACATAACAAATTTTGTCCGATGAAGGCCTGAAGTACGAAACGCGCCACAAGTAAAATTTTTCTACTTTGTCATACAATTTCTCCAATACTGTTCTTGATATATCGCTATCTCAATGAATTAAATATAATTTTTTTTAATTCGATCCTAAAGAGCAGTTCGCTAAAGATACCAATATATAAATAGAACATTTAAAACGGTCTGAGATTTTGGCAATAAATTCTAATCATAAATTCTTATTAAATATAAAACTGTAAGTCTGAAACTCAAAATCAACTATACACATTTAATGTTCTTGCTTTCTAACCATTATTCTTTGGTTAGCTGCACTAGATTAGCATATTCTGATACAAAACCAGTATTCCAGTGAGGATCGAATTCACTACAGTATCGGATTCGTTTGGGAAATAAACTTGAAAACGATAGCAGTATGTACTCAAGTATTTATTAAGCATAGTTTAGCACAATGACACAATAGTAATGATCTACTTGACGAGCTCGTTAACCATTACTACTCGGTTCACTCACAATTAAATTTCTTTTAATGTATAAAATTATTTACCTTTGTTTCATGAAAAAGAAAACTGATTTATTTCGGGACAGTGACATAGTGGGTATAAGATTTGGTTATTGTCATCACATTGTCGTGAGTTCAATCCTTGGGTTAGGTAGGGAAATGCTGGTTTAGCAGGCACAAACAATAACTGGCAGTACAGGGCCAAAATAGTATAATAAACAACTGATATCTCATATCAGTCAAACTCTGGACATCTGAAGATGGCCAGTGGGTAGATGGCCGGAACGTTGTCTCTTTAAAAACATGTATAATAATCGAGATGAAAAGAGTTTGAAATAATTATTGTATATTACTTACTAAACTTAGTTTCGTTTGGAAGAAGGCTACATTCGTGGAGCGGCAAGTGAGTGTAATAAGATTTACTTGATACGGTTTAAGTTGCATGCAGTAATTGGTGTTCTGAAGAGGTCACCCGTCTAAGTACTGATCAGGTTCGACGTTGCTTAAATTCGGTGAGCTGATGAGAACCAGTGCTTTTCAAATGTGACGTGACTTGACCAAGAGTTTCACATAACTACTAAATTTAGATAAATCTGCTCAAAGCCGTACGTCAGGGGCGCTTAGTGAGAATCAATCTTAATACACGTAGCGATTTGCTGATCACTGTAAAATGATTCGTCTTGTTCCTTGTTGATCATATTTTAGCAGGTAGGCTTTTTTTTTTTTAACGGAATGGAATTATAAGCTCCAAGGAAGGATTGAATTCTATAGCTTGTTTTAGCTTCGGAGTTGTTTTTTCGCCTAGACTATTTGCCAACCAAAGCTAAAAAAAAACTAGTTTTTTTTTTATTTTATTTATTTTATCTGTAGGAGAAGGGAAAAGCGGTGCACTGGTGTCTTTCCTAAAACAAATTGCTTGAGCCGGAATTTGAAATTGGTTTGTTGAATCTTGTCTTCGTGCTGTCAGCCAGCCACATCTGCATCGGTCTCATTACGAGCTAAAAAAAATTTATAGGTTCTTTTTATTTAAAACAACTGATTTTTAGCTGTGTTTGGGGGACAGAAAATTGCTATGGCAACTATGAAAAATAGGGTTTCTTAGATACACGAAAGAGGCAATTAATAAGCAGGTTGCTCAAAAAGTGGAGTTTTAAATTGGATGTTATCATAAGCGCTCATTATTCTATAACGAATAAAAAAAATAAATAGAATTTCAGAAGATAGAAAGAAAGAAAGAAAAAGAAAAAAAGTAATGCAAATATACGGAAAGGAAGGAAATAAAGAAAGAAATAAAGACAGAAAGAAAGAAAGAAAGAAAGAAAGAAAGAAAAAACAAAGAAAATAATGAAAGTATACGAAAAGCAAAGAAAGAAAAGAAAGATGCAAAGAAAAAATAAAGAAAATAACTCAAATATCCAGAAAGTAAAGAAAGAAGGAAAAGGGAAAAAGAAAGCAATGTAAATCTAGTAAAAGAAAGAAAGAAAGAAAGAAAGAAAGAAAGAAAGAAAGAAAGAAAGAAAGAAAGAAAATGAAAGTGTCCGGAAAGCAAAGAAAGAAAGAAAAAAGAAAGAAAAAAAGAAAGAAAGGAAGAAGAAAGAAAGAAATAATTAAAAAGTAATGCAAGTATAAGGAAAACAAAGAAAGAAAAAAAGAAAAAAACAAAGAAAGAAAAAAGAAAGAAAATAATGGAAGTACCCGGAAAGCAAAGAAAGAAAGAAAGAAAGAAAAAGAAAGAAAGAAAGAAAGATCGAAAAAAGACAGTGTATAATGCAAGTATCTGGAAAGCAGAGAAAGAAAGTTAGAAATGAGTAAGAAAGAAAGAAGAAAAATAATGTAAGTATAAAGAAAGAAAGAAAGAAAGAAAGAAAGAAAGAAATGTAAAAATAAAAGAAGAAAAGAAAGAAATGTAAAAATACAAGAAAGAAAGAAAGAAAGAAAGAAAGAAGATAATACAAGTATCCGGAAATCAAAGAAAGAAAGATCAAAGAAAAAGAAAGAAAATAATGCAAGAAATCGGAAAAAAAAAAAAAAAAAAAAAAAAAAAGGTTAGAAAAAAGAAGAAAAATAATGCAAGTATCCGGAAAGCAAGGAAAGACAGAAAGAAGAAAGAAAGAATAAAAGAAAAAAAATAATGCTTGTAACAGGAAAGCAAAGAAAGAAAGAAAAAGAAAGAAAGAAAGAAAGAAAGAAAGAAAGAAAGAAAGAAAATAATGCAATTATACGGAAAGCAAAGAAAGAAAGAAGAAAGAAAGAAAAGCAAAGCAAAAATCCGGAAAGTTGTTACTGCAAAGAACTGACGAAAAAAGTCTTTCCTGCCTGTCTTTTACGCTGCTGAAGACCTTTGTGCGAGCGTTCTCGTTATGTTTCCGCCTGTGTAATTAACCTCACCGTTTTTACTGATAGAAAAATAAATTATCCAGAACGCAATAAAGAAAAATAGTGTTATTTATGTGTTAATTACACCTAACATATTTGTTTTCATTGGTATCGTTACCTCCTTTCTCATATTATTTTTCATTTTTCCATATCTGCTCTACAAATAACTCTTCCAAATGTGGCGTCAGATTTTTAGAAATCTGTTTTTTTTTTATTGATTTGTGTTGACGGTTTATCAACCATTTGCCGCTATATTTGTTCAGATTGTTATAATCTTTTGTAAATAATATTGATTTACTGATACAAGTCCTAATAATTAGCCGGTGGTTAGGGGAGAAGAGGTGGATTTATGCCTTTTCAAAGGGTGTTTGCGCGTAAGTGACTATAAAGAACCCGATTGGAATTGGAACTCGGCTCTCCGATTTCGAGTTCCGAGCTGTTATCAATTTCAACCAACGCACATACAAGCTTACCAAACCTGGCATTTCCAAAGTGGTCAGCCAGTTAGGTATTGGCCAGGCTCGACGTTGCTCAACTTCGGTGATCTTGTCAGAACCGGGGTTTCAACGTGATAATGTTGTAAGCCTTAGGTATTTGGATTTCCGTGCCGACTAAATGACATTTGTATCTATACCCCACAAAGCTGCTCACAATTGATAGACAATAAAAGACTGAGGGCTGACTAAGCAATGATCGAGTTAACAATGACCAAACTAAATGTTTGTTCCCGCAGACTCAAATAAATGCTTCAGTGGCCCGAATAAACGAAAGAAATTATTACGAATATACCTGATTTGTTTTGATTTTTCGAAGTTTGGTTCCCGATTAATTAGTGACCTGATTAACTCAATCCATTGCAGATATATTAGGGTATAGCATTCTTATTTTTTACAAACCTTTACTTCAAAGCTTTCACATCGACATCTAAAGCCTATCTATAATTCCATTATATTATTGATATTGACATAATTATGCCATTATCAGTATTGTTCAGCTTAAAATTTCGTCACAGATTTTATATTGACGGATACAAAAATTAAGATTTTGGCAATTTGACAAGGTTTGACATGCTGATCTGCTTTATAAGTTAACTGGACGTCACACATTATGAAATGCAATATTTTAAAGACATTTTTATGTTTATGTAATTTGTTTACATTTGGATACGCATTGAGCAGATATGAATGTACGTGAGAGAATCATGGAAAATTGTAGTTTAAAAGAAGTAAAATCGACCTTGCTAACCGAACGCGCCTCTGTGGCCAAATCGGTTAAGGCACATCAGGCTATATGACGGTTCCCTATAGGATACAAGTTCGATTCCTGTCGGAAGACAAATATTTTCTATGAAAATTTCTCTTACATTCAGGCCGGTAAATGTTGTTTAATAATGTTTATTATAAAAAGAGCATTTACTTAAATATTTGTATCCATAAAAAGAATGTATAGACATAAAAATGTCTTAAAATAATTGTCGGACTTTGTCCATTTCATAATATAGTATTATATATACTTTGGGACAATCCTTTAAACTCGCTCAGAATAAACAGGAACAAAACTGGCATAGCATTGATTTTATAATCGAATTAAAAAAAGGACGTAATTCTTTACGTCGAAAATACTTCGAAGGAATCCTGATAATTTTTACCAACTATAAACACACGTCAAAGACCTTATATTACACCACCAACCTTATTCTTAAAGAATCTACCACAACTGGTGTTTACGTAAATACGTCCACAAATCAACATACAGGCAACCACTTAACATAAATAATGCTTACTAGATACCCACACACTTACGAACATACATTATATCATCCAAATCGCACATAGACAAATTGAACTTAGGATACATTTACATACACAAAAAAGAAAATTACATTTTTCAATTAGCCTAGGAGTCCGTTAATTTTTGTAGCTTCGAATGAACACGTCATCTCTCCTTGTGTTCCGAAGACTATAAATTATACTAACGCTGCTTAACAAATCGAATGCACGTGAAGACCGCTTAACCAATGAAAATAACACAGCACAAAAATCAAAATACAAAAATCTTTCCCATACCTTATTCTCTGATGAAACTTTAATAAAATTGAAACATGTTAGATTGATAAACTTTTCCTATTTGTTCTGTCGTTTTTCGATTCACATTTTATCTATATTTGATTCTATATTATATCCTTTGGTTTGTAACTGTATAATATAGATTGGTTAAAAAAATGAAATTTTACACAGTAATGTTCAAAAAAAAAGAAAGAAAGAAAGAAAGAAGAAATAAGATGTTCATTAAAATTAAAAAAATTCTTTTGATGAAGAGAAAAATAAAAATAAAATCTATAAAAGTGTCGAAATCAAAATTTATCGTGAAATATCCTGTCTTCTTTCATGGGGGAAGCATGTCATCAGAAGGAAGCTGTTTTTCTGGTACCTAATTGTTATCGTCTGTTATCAACGGAAAGTCAAATATTGAAATGAAAGCATAGATTCAGCGTTTCGTACTAAAAAAAAAAAGAGATTTAAAAAATGAAAACATTTTGAAACAGGAAAAGAAAAAAAAATAGAAAACCTGATAACATCATATTCTTTCGATTCTAAGTCACGTGAGACATCTTGAAGCGTGTTTTTTGTTGTTTTTATTTTTTTTATTATTATAACTCGGTTATTCCAAAAAATTTTAAAATAACCTTCAGGTTTAAGAAGGATTGAAAACTACATTGCATTCCTAAACATTGAGAATAAAGCAAATTATTTAAATATAAAAATCAAAAAACTCACAATTGAGAGAGAGAGAAAGAGAGAGAGAGAGAGAGAGAGAGAGAGAGAGAGAGAGAGAGAGAGAGAGGGAATACAGAGGGGAAAACGAGCGAGCAAGAAAGCGTGTGCTCGTGTGAAAGAGAAGGATATAATTCAATTACATATATATCTATTCTGTGAAATGTGAATCATTTAAAATAATTTTTCCCCTAAATTACGCTACTCTGTTTTAGGAACACTATACATGTGGTCATGACAACAACAAATATATATATATATATATATATATATATATATATATATATATATATATATATATATATATATATATATTTTTTTTTCATGAATTGAGGACGCAATTTAACTCAGTCCAATTAATTTGTCTCATTTCTCCAGCAGGAGAAAGATTTGTTGATAAAAAATTATGGAAAACCCGAAACCTATCTATTATGAAGAAAATTGCTCAAAGTAGATGTTTTTTACATATTAAATTGATGCAAAAGTTGCTAGCGCCATATTTTTCCCAATGCTAAAGAAATTTTAGAAGCGTCTTTGAATCTTATTTAACCTCTTTATTGCTTCTGCAATCAGTCAATTGTAGAACATCATTCATTAGGCTTGAGAAAAACTCAGAAGCTACGAGAATGTTGTCAATATGAATTTACGGAAAAAAGATATCAGTCAGAGTTTAAATCCATTTTTCTTTTCTGTCTCAGTACAGAACTCCTTTTAAGGCAAGATTATCTTTTGACGATGGAAATTGGATTTATTATGTACAACATAAAGAAGCAGATACATGTATAAAAAATGGGTTGAGTTTTTTTAAGTGGCCAGATTTGTTGATCAACATTTATTTAAGAGGATCATTGATAAATTTAAAAGATTAACACATAAAATTAAGACTAAGCAACAAAACGAATTTACGAATAAAACGAGATAAAACGCTATACAGTAATCCAAATCTGTCATCAGTTTCATTGTTCAGTATTTTGATCGAAAAGCTAGTCGATTAAAATGACTTATACTAAGTTTTTTCAAATAGTAATTTGCAACATGCGCCTTTTCTTTCTACTATAGTTAGATTTTGTACAATCAAGCGATGCATTACAAGAATTCCAACCAGCAAAACGTCCTGGCTAAATCGAAGGTAAATTTCAACTTCGATGTGCCTCGTCCCTTCAAGACATAGGCGATCATGACTCTCCGCAACTTCCTTTCTCCCTTTGCTAAGACTCCAACCGCCGTTTCGTCATCCGGGAAACAGAGACAGGGGAAGATTCGCTGCCTTCTCTTCGTGCTGTTACTCACAATATGCCCCGTGAATGTTAAGTTACCCAATCCCTCATTATATGTCCAGTGACTTTCAGTTGTCTTACACTGATTCCGAGTAGAAGTGTTCTTTTTGTTGCCATTTTTAAAGACATCCTTCTTTTCAGTATCATTCTGTAGAATTACATTCATGCTGCCTCTAATTTTCTCCTCGTCCATGGGGAGTTTGTCCAGCATTCCCTGCCATGTAAGAAGATGAATAACACATAGAAATCCAGCGCCCTTTTCCGTTTCTCAGCCCCTGGTTTAACATTTTGAATGCTTCTTTCGCTAGGCCAATGCGTTTTAGACTCTCAGCGTCGCATTTTTCATCCTCTCTTAAAACGCTTCCCAGATATTTAAATTTCTGCACCGGCTGGATATTTTAGCTTCAATCTTGGACTTTTTTCCTTCCTGATATCTTAATCTAAAAAGAATCTTCAGTAGAAAAGTTATCTCTGTATTTGGTAAAATTCAAAATAAATTATCTATGCGCATCACTGGAACGTGACAAAAATACTACAGTGAGCAACTGGCTCATTTGAAATACGTATTGGAAGATTTTTTTTCCTGAATAGTAATGTCGACTGGTGATTTCTTCAATGAATCATTGATTCATTGAAGAAATCACCAGTAGACATTCTCTCACGTACATTCATATCTGCTCAATGCGTATCCAAATGTAAATAAATGACATAAACATAAAAATGTCTTAAAATTATTGTCGGACTGTCCATTTAATAATGCATGACGTCTAATTAACTTATAAAGCAGACCAGCATGCCAAACCTTGTCAAATTGCCAGAATCTTAATTTTTGTATGCGTCAATATAAAATCTGTAACGAAACTTTAAGCTGAACAATACTGATAATGGCATAATTATGTCAATATCAATAATATAATGGAATTATAGATATTCTTTAGATGTCGATGTGAAAGCTTTGAAGTAAAGGTTTGTAAAAATAAGAATGCTATACCCTAATATATCTGCAATGGATTGAGTTAATCAGGTCACTAATTAATCGGCAACCAAACTTCGAAAAATCAAAACAAATCAGGTATATTCGTAATAATTTCTTTCGTTTATTCGGGCCACTGAAGCATTTATTTGAGTCTGCGGGAACAAACATTTAGTTTGGTCATTGTTAACTCGATCATTGCGTAGTCAGCCCTCAGTCTTTTGTTGTCTATCAATTGTGAGCAGCTTTGTGGGGTATAGATAGAAATGTCATTTAGTCTGCACGGAAATCCAAATACCTAAGGCTTACAACATTATCACGTTGAATTGATCTTGACGACAAACATAATATAAATATGGGATACATGATGAAAATGCATAATCTTATGGCTTTATTATAAAAAAAATAATAGGTATAGTAAATAATGTTGATGATGTAGGTTCATGTTAAAACTGAAAATGCTTTGACAATGATGAAAGGTGTTATTGTGACTGTGGTCAGAAATGGAAGCTCGCTTTACTAAATGAATAAGATCTGCAGATGGCACAATGTTGATAGCAGACACAGAAAAGACAATACAAAAAATCCTAGTTAGTTAGTGAAGGATATCAAGAATAAAAGACTAAACATAAGACTAAATAAATGATTGTTAGCAAAAGGAACATCCCAAAATGCAATTAACAAATTGAAGATATCCAAATCAAACAAGTACAACGATTTAAGCATTTGGGAAGTGTTCTTACAGATGACGGAAAAATGCGACACTGAAAACCGTAGACATATTGGCACAACGAAAAATGCCTTCTAAAAGCAAAACAAGGTATTAAGAAACAGAAAGATTTCGTCAGGAACAAAGAAAAGAGTACTGAACTGTTACGTAATATCAGTTCTCCTATATGGCAGTAAATTCTGGACAATTACCGCACAGATGAAGAAGAGACTTGAAGCAAGAGACATGTGGTTCTACAGAAAGACGCTGAGAATACCACGCACTCAACGCGTGAGAAACGACGAAGGACTTTATATTTAATATCAGTGCCATACAGCTGAAATTTCTAGGGTACATTGTGAGGATATAGGGCTTGGAAAAGTTGATACTCACAGGCAAGATGAAAACAACGTATAACCTAACTAGAGAGTGTGTGTAAATGGATGGCGGAACAACATTTAAGAGAGAAGATAAAAACACAAATATTATTAATAGCTACAAAGACCTGGGAACTGTGGAAAGCCATGATCGCCAACGTCTTGAAGAGACACAGCACTTGGAAGGGGATGAAGGAAATACTTTTTTCCGAATAAGAATGCCGACCGAGAATTTTGACACAATTTCCCGTTGTCGTTTTGAAAATGCGACGCATCAAACTATTATGGAGTTGGGAAATACTTCTACTTGTTTCGACTTATTCTGATTTCTTGCCATCATATTATCAAGTGTTTCGCTCTTTGTATGATAATCAGTTTCAGCAATTTCGTAAATTGTTCAACGAATTCATCAAATCAAAACAGGATAATGACGGACAACACGTGGTAAGGGTAATCTTAACCGTTCCATTATAATGAAACATTCGGTATTCATTGACCGAGCTGCCAATGCTGCAGCCGGCTGAAATTTATTAAATATATCTCTTAAAAGAGATTTTCAGGAGAATAAGTTTCTCAAGTTCATTGTCTGTTATCGTTATTTCCGGGATTGTCGAGGGTTTCGTTCCTAACGTTTCTTTGAAATAATGTGGAAAGTCAACCTCTTGATGGGAAGTGTGAAAAATACATTTCTGACTGAATAATGATGCTATGAATTTGTATTTCTTAGAAATTAGCGCCAATTTTGGCATCAATATCACTAAGTTATATGCCATGCGTGCATTGAATTCTGTTGCCATATCTGATCTGGTGCCCTAGCTGTTCATCTCGTGGTTCTCGACAAAACCCGAAGAAGAATCTGCAATGAAATTGATCCTGACATGGCATCTCGTCTCCAGTCACTTTCTCACAAACCTAATGTCGCTTCCCCTTGTCTTTTCTACAAATATTTTCATGGCAGCTGCTTTAATAAACTTTTTCCCTAGTGCCCCGACTACATGAATTTAAGCGTGCTACTAGGTCCTACCCGTTTACTGTGGAAATAGTTAAATGTAATCGCCACTTTCACTCGAACAGTTTCTTTTCTTGCTCTTCCTGACTGTAGAACTCCCTTCTCTTACTTGCTTCCCTGATAACTACAATGTTCCAAAAATTTAAATTCGGTGTCAACCGCCATCTTCTGTTGACTTATACCCTGTTCATCTTTTATCCTTTTCTCAATCTCCCTATACCCAGTCTTTTCTTTCACTTTCATTCTATGTAACTTCCTGTGTGTTAGTGACACTCCTGCCTTGTTTGAGGTGAAAGGCTTAAAAAATGAAACACCCCCCCAACAAAAAACCTCCAAAACAAACAAAGAAACAATAATTGTGTTGCTAGATGCTATGTTTTAAAGGAGCTTCAATTCAGATGTTGGCATTATGGCGTTTGTACGTTATGCTGACACCAAAAACGAACCAACAGATGAGCGAAATTCTCTAGACATAATATATCGTCGTCAAGCCCCCTAAGGGAATGGTTAAGAATCACTACGGCAACGAATGGTGGACGATTTCCTCAAAGATGAAGCTCTTCTTCATCTTTGAGGCGACTGAGATGTGGTTCTACAGAAGGATGCTAAGGATATTATGGACTAAGCGTATGAGCAACGATATGGTCTTAGAGAGGATGCACACAAGGAGGCGGCTTATACTTCAGGAAGAAGCAGCTGAAGTTCCTGGGGCACATATTGAGGAAGGAGGGCCTGGAGAATCTAATACTCACGGGTCGAATAGAGGGAAAGAGAGACAAGGAAAAAAACGCATGGCATACCTAGCGGGCTTAAGCAAGTGGATGACAGAACGTGGCCTGGCGGAGGAAGCAGAGGGAAGGAACTTCTTTAGAGCTGCAAGGGATAGGTGAGGGTTGGAGAGCCATGATCGCCTACGTCCTGAAAGGACACGACACATAGAAAGAAAAGAACTAGTTCGATGTATGAAATCCGAAGGTGGCTTACAACACTAGTTTTTGCCTGTAATCGATAGGCAGAATGAAAGCAAGAAAATTGTTCCCGGAAGACGAGCATCTCTGTCCGCGGCCTTCGACCTCGATTCTTCTCTTGAATGAAGTAGTGCTGTTCTAACATGCAGATTACAAATTGGTGATACCAAAATCAAACATGTATAAGAATTTAAATATCTGGGAAGTTGTCTAACAGGGGACTGAAGGTGCGACACTTAAATCCGAAGAGCCATTGGAATAGTGAAAGGTACTTTCAAAAAGCTAATCAAAGTATTAAGAAACAAAAAAAAAAAAAAAGATTTCATTAGAAACAAAGAATACAGAACTGTCGGGTAATATCAGAAACTCCACAACAAAGATGAAGAAGTGACTTAAAACAATAGAAATTAAGTTCAACAGAAGGATGCAGGGAATACAATAAACCAAACATGAGCAACGATGAAGTTTAAGAGAAAATGCAAACAAAATGGACACATACTTAACATCAGAAAGAGGCAGTTGAAATTTCTAAACAATATAATGAGGTAAGAAGGCTTCGAAAACTTGACACTCACAGGGCATATTGAAGTCAAGAGGGACAGAGGAAAAAACGCATAGCTTATTTAGTGAACTTGAATAAATGGATGACAGAACAGGGTTTAGGAGATATAAATACAAAGGAAGGATGGTAGACATTAATAGCTGTGTCAACAGAGAAAAAAAGTCCTTTTGAAAAACCATTTTTTCTCGGGTCCGAATGTTAAACTTTACTGATTTTTTTTATCTGACAATTTTGTTATTACTCTAAACGTTATTTTAGTCGTACACATATTTGAGTTGCGAATCTTTTTTTTATTAAACGTTGGTAAAACGCCACAAAAACAATTATAGCAAATATGTGTACCTATAAAAATAAATAAGAATATCAAATAAATGTACTTATAATAATTAAACAATGATAGCAAATACTTGTACCTATAATAAATAACGTTCATATTAACAACAAATAATGTCGGATAGAAAATCCCTTCAAACATTGCTGCTACATATAAAATCTTAGAAGTTGAGAAATGTGCCTTTCTTAAAAAGGTAATTCAAACCTTATAGCTATTGTAAATTGCGTTTTCATAGCGTTTTTCATTGATAGCAAAGGTGATATAGGTTCGATCCATGTCGGCGGAACAATCTTTCTTTAGTAGTACTTCCCGATCTAGGTGTCGGTTGTTACTAATTTCGCTGTTTAAGAAGATTTTTAAAAAATAGATAGCAACACAAATGCGTGTATCTGACAAAAAAAACAACAACAAAAACAACAACAAAAAAAAAACGTTTACTGCAATAAGAAATATATATTTTTTAAATTCCCGCTGTCGCTACGCAGCCCAGCACATGGTTCTTGATAATGACGGAGATGATCGAAAGTACTTGAACAAATGTAACAGAAGAAGCATAAACTCGGTACGATTTATGTACAATTTTAATCCCAATATACAACATCTGATTCGTAAATTGTCAAAATACAATAAAAAATATATTATATAAAAATATATATATATATATATATATATATATATATATATATATATATATATATATATATATATATATATATAGTTCTTAAAATGAAAAAAGTAATCCCCGTATAATATATGAACTGCGCCAGCATTGCGTTAACTAGATAATTTTAATAAAATTGAAATTATGTAACGGTCAGTCTGTATCCAGCACCTGAAGATTGCGTTGAGCATGAAAATCCGAGTCGTGCTAAATATATATACTTAATACTAGCCCTGTTATATTACTATTCAAGCACTATTTTATTAATACCAGCGTTCACTGTACTCTATGTTATATAAATATATATATATGTATATATATATATATTCTATTCATATGTTATTGTAATAGGTGCAATTTATTTAAGTAAATCCTCTGTTTACATATACCGGTCTGAATGTGCGGGAAATTTCGTAGAAATTATGTGCTTCTTTTACAGGAATCGAACCTGTTACTTCACAGGGAACCACCATTTCCTCTGATGTGTTCCTAACCATTTAAATAACGTAGAAACAAAAAATGTATAAAATAATTGTTGGGCTTAATCAATTTCATAATATATGTATATATCTGTGTGTGTGTGCGTGTGTGTGTGTGTGTGTGTGTGTGTGCGTGTGTGTGTGTGTGTGTGTGTGTTGAGGGTGCACAAAAAACAAAATTTTGCTGTGATCAACAGACTACCAGAAACAAAATAACAAAAGCAAATAAGCAAAAAAATTAAAAAAAAAAAACAGTAAAGTGGAAAA